TGACTTTCTTGGGAATGCTTCCAGCCCATCAAGTACGTCGGAATGCAGCTCAATTTGCAGGACATAACAATAGGTTTCCAATTCTCAGGAGATTGAAAACGGACCTCAGTGTAATGRCCTCGGTCAGTATGTTCAAGACTCTGGACGTGACGGTCACAGCAGTAAGCACAACTACGTTTCTACTGGGAGAAAAGTATTACTGACCTCATCTCCTTCTTTGACCATGAATCCCTGGTCATATATTTGTCCTCCCTGCTCGGCATAGAATGCAGTGTTGTCCAAGATGACACCACAATGAACACCACCTGGTACTTCTTGGACAAACTCTTTTTGGTAAAGGAGTGCTTTGATGGTTCCGACTGTGGATGAAAAGTCTGAAACAAAAATAATAAGCAAGTATGTTACTCACTTTGGATGGCTCGTATGCATGCTATAAATTATAGAGCTTTTTGTTGTTGTTTGTTTTTTGTTTGTTTGTTTGTATTGTCTATTATATACGACAATAATAATTAGAAGAACAATCTAAATTTAATAGAAAATGTCACTTTCTTTTTTTTTTCCCTCTCTCTCTGTTTTCTTCTTCAAAAACATTCAAATGTCATATAAATAGTAGGGGAGGAGGACGGTAACAAAAATAAATAAATAAATAAATAAAAAAAAATAATAATAATGAAAAAATTACCAACGTGTATAAGAAATATAAGGAAAAGAGACAGAAAATGTTATGTATAGCTTTATGTGTATATCTGTATATTGTAAAGTGAAACGTCTTTGTTGTAATAAAGTATTTATTATTGAAAAAAACAAACAACAAAAACAAAAACAAAAACAAAAAAAAAACAAACAAAAAAAACAAAAAAAATTATAGAGCAGTTTTTGAATGAGTGGGAAGGGACTTTGCCTAGTTCCAACCAATGCTACATGTGTGTACTGGAAGAACCAAAAAGACCAGGAAAAGTGAATTACCTTAATCYATAGACTGAGTTTTCCTGAACTTTTCAATTGGAATGACACATACCATAATTATGCTTTTCCAATCAGAATAWCAGGTTTTTCCAGGTAAATGGAAAACTCCTAATACTACAGTACTTACCATAGTTCCCTTGTTTATCTGAAGTGTAGTTGTACTTGGCCAGGTCATTGGTGGGGGGAAGATTGAATTCTTTTTGTAGCTTGTCAATAGAGTGTACGTCTAGAGTGATGGCATCATCACTGGCACTGTCTTTACCTCTGGCTATTTCCTGTTTGGATATAATAGTTCAGTGATTATTATGTAAGGTGGGGAGGGGGGGTTGGAAGGGAAAAGAGGGAGAGTGGAAGGGTGAAAGGGTGAAAGGTAGGAAGGAAGCAAGGAAGGAAGGAGGGATGGAAGGAGGGATGGAAGGAGGGATAGAAGGAGGGATAGAAGGAGGGATAGAAGGAGGGATGAAGGGAAAGAAGGAAAGAATGAGACATGGAAGGAGGGATAGAAGGAAGGAAGCAAGGAAGGAAGCAAGGAAGGAAGCAAGGAAGGAAGTAAGGAAGTAAGCAAGGAAGGAAGTGGGAAGGAAGCAAGGAAAGAAAATACACGATCACATCAGCAATGCTGTAAAAGTTATTGTGTCTAAATAGATACTGTTATTATTATTATTACTAGTAAATGGAAGAAAGGAAGCACAAAAGGAAGGAAGGAAGGAAGAGAAGAAGCAACAGAGAAAGGGGTGATGGAAAAAAAAGTAATATTTGATGACAGTCTAATAATCGATTCTTACCTGAGCCCTCTTCTTTGCTTCCTCATACTCCTCCATATCCACAGTAAAGCCTCGTTCCTCTGCCATTAACTCTGTCAAATCCACAGGGAATCCATAGGTATCATACAGACGCCATGCCACATCTCCTGGGATGTGGTTATCAGTTCTTTTGTTTGCRGTTCTGTCAAAGAGGCGACGGCCCCGTGCTAGAGTCTTCAAGAACTGAGTTTCCTCTTCATTWATGATATCAACGACCTAAAAAACACATACAAACAAAATACATTTCTTTACAAAATGATTAACCAAATTCTAACTCATACCGTACTCTGATTGGTCAGAATACCATAATTCTAGATTATAATTTCTTTTTCTAAAGTGAGGAGAATTTGTACTTCCATACAGAAAAAATAAAAACAATACTTTTTGAATTCTTCATGGTTTCCTATACTTTTCTTGTGTTTTATTAATATCTCATRCATTTTTAGATCTGTATTTAAAATGTAAAACTGCATGTTTTTTATAATTCTCTTATCAAATAACACGTCAATTGTATCTTAAATAGATAAATAAACTATAGATGCAAAAATAGTAAAATTCATGTAAGATATCAGTTTATTCTTCTATATTAAGATGAAAACAAACKGAATGAAAAATGATAATGAATAAATAAAAAGCGCATAAATTATTGAACAATACTGATTTATTATGAAATTTCCAATTCATAAATGAAGCCAGAGCAGAGCAAAGCATAAGCCTTGCCTAACTAATTTCTGGGTCCATATAACTAGGATTTGTAAAGAAAAAATATATTTATAAAGATATAATATTAGTGCTCTTACACTTTATCTTATGTTTTTTGTTTGTTTGACAAAAGAAGACAGGGTAAAATCTATGACAATAAGTGATGTCTTACCTGTTGGGGATCTTTTTTCAGTTCTGGAAAAAAATCACCCTAAAAARAGGAAAATTCAGGCAATAAAATAAAAACTTGACAACCAACATTTCATTTTATAAAATAATTTACACAATAATGATTTGATACACCTACCAAAGTTTCAATAACAACATCAACAAGACTTGCTACATATCCAGCAGGAGCATTCAATTTTTCAGTAGCAAATCTAATACATCTTCTAAGGATTCTTCTTAAGACATATCTAGAAATAAAATCATCATATTATATACTGGTAACAATGATTGGCATTCTCGTTCTATGTAATCTGGCTGCCCTTC